GTGGGACTGGCCGCTCCCGCCGGCGGCCGTCGCGAGTTGCTCCCGGCGGGGTCCGTCCCGATCTTCTGCGGCGCGGGGGCGAGCGCGGACGCTGCCGCCGCCGCGGCGGCACCCCGCGGCGGCACGTCGTTCGACATCTCCTCCGCGATGATGCAGGTGCTTCGGGCGCGCGGCGGCGCGGAGCCGGCAGCCCCACATCTCCGACGACGGCGGCGGCGGCGATGCCGACGCCGACGCCGACGCCGACGCCGAAGACCACGCCGACGCCGACGTCGTACGACGACGACAGTGGCGCCGTTGGCGGCGACGACGACGCCGGCGGCGGCGACGACGAGGACGACGCCGACGACGCCGACGCCCACGCCGACGACTACGACGTCGATGACGACGACGACGCCAACGACGACGATGAGGATCCGCCCGCCGTCGGGGTCCAGGAGCGCGGGCGGCGCCATTCGTGTGCCGTTGACTTTTGCAGCCCCAGCGTGTATTCCCTGGATTCGGCCTCGAGGGATCTGGGCCCAGACATGATCGCATTGTATGAACACCAGGACGGGAGGTTCTTGACTACCCTTGCAGGGCCTCGGGACCATCAATAATTAACTCAGGACAAAAAACGGGTCCGGGGGAAAGGGTCGGGACTTCCAGGGACGCCGTCCTGAAAAATCAGGGCGTCGCATGTCTGGGGGTCGAATTCTTGACCCCCGGGGACGTGGTCTAGCCCTTTGGCGGCGCCAGAGCTCCGAGGGGGGGAGCAGGCGTGAGTCCAAGCCTCCTCCTCCTCCTCCTCCTCCTCCTCCTCCTCCTCCTCCTCCTCCTCCTCAGGGTGGAGGCCACACGCGTGGCGAGGAGCACCGTTGGCGCGTGCCGTGGTGCTGACGGCGAGAGCCCTGCGAGGCTGTGCACCACATGCGCGAGCGCCGTGCTGGCCGGCCAAGGCGAGTCCCGTGCCAGGACGGACGCGAGCAGCGGCGGCAGGCTGCACAGAGCCCGACGCATCAAGCTCGGCCCCACATCGGCGTATAGGGTGGGTCCGTCGACGGGGTTGCACGTCGCATTCGTCGCCCATGCCGAGCTGGCGAGTGAAGTTCGCAGGCGGCGGAGAAAGAACAGCCCCGCCGCGGACGTTTGCGGCGGCTCCAGAGCGACGCTCAGCGCCTGGGCCGTCACCGCAAGGCTCACAAGTTTTTTACCTAACAGCGAAGACTGATAGGTTTCTAGTAGGGTCAAAAGAGAGCAGCAGATGACTCCACAGGGGGGTCCGGGCGGCATCCGGGGAGCTGGGTCCGAACTCGTTTTTCGCAAACAGTCACACACTTCGTGCTCTTCGACCTCCCAGAACTCCATTCCCGGGCCACATTTGAATGCCCGGAGCCAACTGTAGGCCACTTCGTGCTCTTCGACTTCCCAGAACTCCATTCCCGGGCCACATTTTGGATGCCCGGAGCCAACTGTAGGCCACTTCGTGCTCTTCGAAGTTCCCAGAACTCCATTCCCGGGCCACATTTTGAATGCCCGGAGCCAACTGTAGGCCACTTCGTGCTTTTCGATTCCCCAGAACTCCATTCCCGGGCCACATTTTGAATGCCCGGAGCCAACTGTAGGCCACTTCGTGCTCTTCGAGTTCCCAAAACTCAATTCCTGGGCATGATTTTGAATGCCCGGAGACAACTGTAGGCCACTTCGTGGTCTTCGAGTTCCCAGAACTCCATTCCTGGGCATGATTTTGAATCTGAGAACAGGCTGAGGCTGAGGCTGGGCTGAGGCCGAGGCTGCAGGCAGACTGAGGCTGAGGCTGAAGCAGGCTGAGGCTGAGGCTGAGGCAGGCTGAGGCTGAGGCTGAGTCTGAGGCAGGCTGATGCTGAGTCAGGCTGAGGCTGAGGCTGAGGCTGATGCAGGCTGAGGCTGAGGCAGGCTGATGCTGAGGCAGGATGAGGCTGAGGCTGAGGCTGATGCAGGCTGAGGCTGAGGCAGGCTGAGGCTGAGGCCGAGGCTGAAGGCAGACTGAGGCTGAGGCTGAAGCAGGCTGAGGCTGAGGCTGAGGCAGGCTGAGGCTGAGGCTGAGGCTGGCTGATGCTGAGGCTGGCTGATGCTGAGGCAGGCTGAGGCTGAGGCTGAGGCTGATGCAGGCTGAGGCTGAGGCTGAGGCTGAGGCCGAGGCTGAAGGCAGACTGAGGCTGAGGCTGAAGCAGGCTGAGGCTGAGGCAGAGGCAGGCTGAGGCTGAGGCTGAGGCAGGCTGATGCTGAGGCAGGCTGAGGCTGAGGCTGAGGCTGATGCAGGCTGAGGCTGAGGCAGGCTGAGGCTGAGGCCGAGGCTGATGCAGACTGAGGCTGAGGCTGAAGCAGGCTGAGGCTGAGGCTGAGGCAGGCTGAGGCTGAGGCTGAGGCAGGCTGATGCTGAGGCAGGCTGAGGCTGAGGCTGAGGCTGATGCAGGCTGAGGCTGAGGCAGGCTGAGGCTGAGGCCGAGGCTGAAGGCAGACTGAGGCTGAGGCTGAAGCAGGCTGAGTCTGAGGCTGAGGCAGGCTGAGGCTGAGGCTGAGGCAGGCTGATGCTGAGGCAGGCTGAGGCTGAGGCTGAGGCCGATGCAGGCTGAGGCTGAGGCAGGCTGAGGCTGAGGCCGAGGCTGAAGGCAGACTGAGGCTGAGGCTGAAGCAGGCTGAGGCTGAGGCTGAGGCAGGCTGAGGCTGAGGCTGAGGCAGGCTGATGCTGAGGCAGGCTGAGGCTGAGGCTGAGGCTGATGCAGGCTGAGGCTGAGGCACGCTGAGGATGAGGCCGAGGCTGAAGGCAGACTGAGGCTGAGGCTGAAGCAGGCTGAGGCTGAGGCTGAGGCAGGCTGAGGCTGAGGCAGGCTGAGGCTTAGGCTGAGGCAGGCTGAGGCTGAGGCTGTGACTGCGACTGCCGTTGCCGCTGCGACTGTCATCGCGAATGCGACTACGACTGCGAGAACATCAGAATTCTACAACTGATCAGAGAACTATGTATTCAGTTTGTGTCGGGGTTTCGGTTTTCTGCTATGCCTGGCGGCCCATAGGGGCCAGACGGATCGCGAGGAGGCGGATGAGGAGGAGGAGGAGGAGGGGCCATCTGTGGTTGTGGCTCCTCGCGTTTCTCCGGTCTGCCTCTCTCCCCTCCCCCTCCTCCCTCTCTCCCTAAACCCCCCTCCCTCCTCCTCCCCCCGTCCCTCCCCCCGAAATGGGACGAATTGCAACCGACTAGTCCCAATTCCAACCGTTCGGAGCGAATTGCAACCATAAATGGGACCAATTACAACCATGGGATCTTCAGAAGTACTTCTTTCTTCTTCAGAAGTATTTCTTTCTTCTTCAGAAGTACATCTTTCTTCTTCAGAAGTACTTCGATTCCTTGGGATTCCTTATGATTCCTTCGGATTCCTTAGGGTCCTTAGGATTCCTTAGGGTCCTTGGGATTCCTTGGGATCCTTAAGAATATTTGCGAATCCACGGGAGTCCTGAAAAATCCTTAGGGGAAGGGGGCGCTTTGGAGGCCTTCTTGAGTTCGCTTTCGGCCACTATAAAGGCCCGCTTAGGGCCTTCTTGGAGCCCTCCCGGGGCCCTTATTGATTTTTCTTGGCGCCAAAATAAGCCCTAGAAGGGCCAACTCTCGAGGGCTGCAGGAGGACCAACTTTTGAGGTCAATACTACGAAAATTACTACCACTTCGACCTACTGCTACGACTTCTGCTACGACTACTACTGCTACAGCTACTACTACTACTACTACTACTACTACTACTACTACTACTTATTCTACTCCTACTACTACAACCACTACTATTCTTTCCTGCTTCTACTACTACGCCTACTGCTTTTAATACTATTACTTCTACTGAAGCGACGCCGACTACTACAACTACAACAACAACGACTACTACGACTAGTACTGCTATTCGTGCTACCCACACTACCACTTCTGGTACCATGGCTACTACTATACTCATTTCTAGGACTCGTACTAGTACCAGTACTAGTACTAGTACTAGTACTAGTACTAGTACTAGTACTACTACTACTACTACTACTACTACTACTACTACTACTACTACTACTGCGACTGCTATTACTACTACTACTACTACTATAAATATTGCCAGTACTACTACTGTCACTACTACTAACACTACTACTACCACTACTGAGAGTGACCACGACTACTACCACTACGACTACTACGGGTCTTGCTTTGCCTGCTACGACTACTACTACAACACTACTCGTACCATTGCCAACACCACCATTACTACTACTGCAACTACTCAATATACTACTGCTACTACTACTACTACCACTACTACGACGACTACTACTACTACTACTACTACGATTACTATTACTACTACTACTACTACTACTACGACGACTACTACTGTTACTAGTACTACTAGTACTACTAGTCCTACAACTACTCCTACTACTACTCCTACTACTACTACTACTACTACTACTACTACTCTTAGTCTTACACTTATTGTGAGTACTGCCACTACCACTACTACCACACTACACAACTGCTACTTTTACTGCTGTTACTATTATTACTACGGCTTCCGCCACTACTACTACTGCTAGTACTATTACTGGTACGACTACTGTCGCTACTACTACTACTTCTACTACCACTACCACGACCACTTTCACCACTACTACTACTACTACTACTACTACTACTACTACTACTACTACTAGTACTACTACTACTACTACTACTACTACTACTATTACTATTACGACTACTACTACTACTACTACTACTACTACTACTACTATTACTACCCCTACCACTACCACTACCAGTACGACTACTCTCGCTCATCATGATGCTACTAATTTTATAGATACTACTACTACTACTACTACTACTACTACTACTACTGCTACTAGAATTGCTACTACTACGACCACTATTCCTCCTACTAGCCATTCTACCATTGTTCTTAGTATTACTATTACCAATACTACTAGTATTTCTGCTGCTACTCTTA